ACAGAGCATTGCTACAACACAGATTACGGTATTTTCTGCCGTTCACGTCGCACCACCGTATAAGTCGCATCAGTCCAAATATGTCAAATAACGTGGGGAAAAAAAAACAAATACGTCGCTTCACCATATACGTCGCATCTGTTATGCGTCACCGCTGACGACCCGGACATGTGGACCGGTGTTGTGCAAAAATCGATTGGTTACCAAATGGCAGCCATGGGAAACTGTAAGAGAGGACTTGAACAAGAATTTAACAAGATTAACACTTAAAAACAATCATTTGTTTGCTCAAAATTATAGTAAGGTGTGTCTCGGGTTAAATTTTCCTTAATAAATGCACTTTGACGGTCGAATCAGCTGCATTTCAAAAGTATTCATGGCAAGCCGATTGTGTCATTAATTGCCACTTTTACCTATTACATGACACAATGTCATGCCATACCACTCGAGTGCCATCTAGTGGTTGAAAATGGTAGTGTTTAATATTTTAAGTGTTTGAACAAACAAAAATGGTCAAATCAGCCCAAAATTGGTTTATAAATATGGGGAAAAAACCATAAATAAGTTGCTTCTGTGTATAAGTTGTAGGGCATGTAAATTATGCAAAGAAACTGTGACTTATAGACCAAAAAATATGATAATTTGAGTCACTGTCAGAAGAGTCAGAGTTCAAATAAGACTGTCTCAATAAATGAAAAAAAAAAAAAAAAAACACCAGGGAGTTCCCCTTGGATGTCACTTCCTGTTTCACTTTGGCTGCACCAAGTTAAAAATAAAATACACCACTTATGTGACAACATTGGCACAAATCATGTGTATTATGGCAAATGTCTTAAATATTAAGACGTTTCCTTCCACTTTTTGTATTTGTAAGATATGCACAGCACAGGCGCTTATAAACTTGATAAATTTTTTAATCAACCTGAACACAAAGACGCGAATGGACTGATATGAACTTGTTAAGTAAACCTGGAGAACACCGGCATCGGGTGTCTGCGTTGCAGACTTGATAATAAGTCACCGATTCTCTTCAACTGATAAAATATAATGAATAAGCATGAGCCAAAAAAACTTTGCAACAAAACAAAGACAAGCAGGCAGAATAATTCCCACATAAACGACAGCGACCACGGGTTCGAATGTGGTCGACATCAACTCGTAATGATCTGTGTCCGACACAACAATCAGGTAATCTGAGATGCAACATGTTCTGTTTACTGTGAAACCAGCTAACCAGTGTTTCGTTTGCCCTCTAAGCAAAGCGTCGCCTCATTAGTAAAAGAGATCAGAGGTTAAAAACAGATAAAAGCCAGCATGTCTAAACAAAATGGCTTTTAAAGAAAACCCATACAAAACACATCCAGTCTTAATTGGCAGATTTATTCTGAATAAAACTCAGAGTTAATAGAAAGCTGAGTCAGCGTAATAAATGCTGAGAAAACAGCTTCTTTGTTCAGAAGCGTGAACTTTCAGATGAATGTTTAACCTTCAATTAAACTTCACTCAAGTCCAAAAGAGGTGGCTCGTCTTCAGTCTGCATGTGACGCCTCCTTCTCTCACAAAGCTCCTTTGAATTCAGAAAAGCCTTTGTCTGCTCAAACGTCTGCTCCGTACCTGTGCAGTCACATTCAAACCCAATCCGGTGGAGCTTCATTGATCTGAGCAGAGTCACGGCACAGATCACAGCTTTGATTCATGTTAGAAGGCAGCGGTGTCTGTCGAGGCTGATTTTACACGCAGGGAAGAAAATTACACTGAAACCGGAGGAGAAAACCAACAAAGGGAAAGGCATGTTTGGAGTTTAAAGCAAAAGAAGAAAAAGAATAATCGAGTGGCAAGCACAGGTGGAAAGGAAAGGAGAGAAAAGGAAAAGCAGAGAAACCCAAGAAGAGGGCGTGTCAGGTTTACTAAACCTCCTACAGCGAAACAACAGCTACAGCTGCTATTGAATGTGTCACTACGGAAACAGGTGTGTGGCTGACTCATGTTTACCTGCAGACAGGAAATGCAGGACATTTTGTCATCATCCACATCCTTTTATTATAGCAACTGTAAACTGAACTGGGCGATGAAACAGTGAAGGAACCTTAAAGCATGCACAAACTCCAACTTATACCGATGACGTAGGCCTGTCACGATAACACATTTTGCTGGGCAATTAATTGTCCCAGAAATTATTGCGATAAACAAAAATATTGTTTGAAATCTGACAATAATTATTCATTATTGTAAAATTTAAGAAGAAATGTTTAATTGTTTTCCATGTAATACCATTTTTGACCACCGAATGGCAGTATAAGAAAGCTTGAACCAAAGCATGGATCTCTAAGTAAAATGGGATGGAGGCCCCTTGACGTGACATGGGCTGTCTCTCTTCAGTTCTCAAAATGGCAGACGCTCGGTGTGGTTTGAGCTCTTTAGCATAGCATTTGTCACACAAAGCTTTAAGTTAAAAAAAACCTCAGTAAACAAGTTCTCAGCTTCTTTTGGCAGAGAAAAACAACTTTTTACAAGAAGGCACGGGTTTCCACCGTGAATTTTGGAGCTTGGACAAGACGGAGGGTTTTTTTCCGAGGTCAGCGTGTTAGCTTAGCTTCTCAGCTTAGCTGCTTTTAACGATCCAAAAACGTGATTTGACGATTAAAATGGATTTTAATGAGAAAAGAGAAAGAGAGGGGTCAGTGAAAAACACCTAAGTTGAGCTTTTTGTCATCCAGTGTCTTCAGTAGAAAGAGAGACACGAAGAAACAATAAAGCCGATTAATGAAAATGAGGTTGATAATTTTCATTTATCATGCAACTAATTGATTTATTGTGACAGGCCTACAATGATGTTTTATGAATTTATTAAAAATATACCAGTGCTTCTTCTTACTTTAGTCCAATCCATCTGCACATACAAACATGTCAGTATTAGCCCTCTCGTCTTAAAGTCACTTGTTTATTCTTTACTAGAAATAGACAAATTAATCAGCTTTAATTGGCTGATATTGGCCACTTTTAAATACCTGGTCAATACTGAATCAATTATCAAGTAAGATGCTACAACCAGTTCACCATCACCTATAATTTAGATTCTTAGGCAAAAAAAAAAAATCATATTTGTTATTTGTAAGTGTTCAAGCTTGTCTAAGTATTGTAAGTTAGGCAATGTTTTATTGATTTTGTTTAATGAACACAACTCTTTGGTCAAATACCATAATTTCCGGACTATAAGCCGCTACATTTTTCACACGCTTTAAACCCTGCGTCTTATACAACGCTGCGGCTAATTTATGGATTTTGTTTTTTGATGGGCTAACGAGCTTCATGCCAACAAAACATTTAGCCTCATTACACCGGGGTGCTCACAGCCCAGTACATGTCTCACTTGGGGAGTGGGTCCTTGTAACTCAATGAGACTACCTGTATAAATAAAGGTTAAAAAAAAAAATTTGACCAATGAAATTATCGAACATGTCACTGTGGACCAATAAAGCGTGGAAGGGATGAGAGACTCCCCATGGGGATTCAATGACTTCCTGGTAGGCTACAGTATTTGTTTTTTTTAACCTGCCATGTTACAGGCACTGTTGAGTAAAAAACATTTACTGTGCGTATTTGTGTAGGTCACGTTATGTATTTAATTAAAAGTTAAAAAATATATATTTCTGTGTAAATATCTCATGTTACAACGTGGACACCCGCAGCTTTTAGATGAGCACAGCCTATATATGTACAAAACTGTTGTTTTTTTAATTTAGTGGGAGTTGCTTATATTCAGGTGCGCTCTATAGTCCAGAAATTACGGTAAATACCCAAAAAATATCAATGTCGCATATCGACCATTGGCTGCCCTGATTAATACTGATGGGCATCGGCCATAGGAAACCTCCTATTGGTTGACCTCTATTCTTTACCAGAGAAAGATTCAACGCAACATAGAGGTTCACATATAGATGTTTTGAATCTGTAAATAGTTTTTCTTGTTTGTTTGTTTTTGATGTTGTTGGCCACATGGGACAAAGAGGACAAGTGTTGCTCTAACGTCTCCATGGTGACGGATGCTACGTTACGATAATGAGCCACCTGAACCGTCAGTTTTACAAGTTCTTTTTCACCAAGTATAGATTTGTTTTTTAAGTTCATAGCAGTGGAATGTAAGGCTCAATAAAGTGTGCCAGCTGTAATCTGCCATTAAAGAGATCCAAACAATAAGTAGGTCAGCGTGTGCGATCCAGTTACCATCGTAGAATGACAGCCGATCGACATCAGGTTTACGCACATCACCTTATTTTTGGTTGGGTCAAATGGGCCAAAGCTTTTAAAAGTTATTCCAAAAAATACAAGATAAGTGACTATAAAACATCAAATACATATTCAAAATAAAAAGGTCCAAACGGTTCTACTCATGCTTCTTTTGTGTAATTAAGGAGAAAGAAAAGAGCATGTGCTCTCATTTAAGAATCTCTAGCAACACACTTTATTAAAATATCTTTTAAAAATAGCTGCTAATTAATTTTTCAGGAATTCAACTTTTGAATAATGGGCCCAATACTAATGAAGATGTTCTTTTTATTCTATTGCACTAAAATGTAACTTGTCTTGCAGATTATTCTTCCCAGACCTAAATAGGATGAAACAAATGTCTCCTATTTATAGAGAATTTAAACTTATATTCATCTTTAACGCCCCTCACAGGGAGGGGTTGTTTGATGACACACAAACCATATTGTGCTTTTTAAATTTATTTATTTTATTTTTTATTTTTTTTATCCCCTGCAGCTTCATACTGCTCCACTGCTTGGTTACCTGGTTAACCCAACACCATCATGACATGTTCCCCTCCAGGGAGTCTCACCCAGCTCCTCCCCTGTCTGGATAATTAGCCCATTAATGACTGCAAATTAAAGCCACAGGCACAATTATTAATTCTCTTTGGTTTATTTATGCAACTGCGTGAACAAGGAGGTGGCTGAATCCAAAAAATCAGAAGGAGCATTAAAATCTTTTTGTCTTACCTTCATGTCTCCAATGACAGTCTGGAAAAGCCCCCCCAGCGCGCTGCACTCCCTCTCCATCACCGTCTCCATCTTCAGCTGTGTGGACTGATTGCAAACACTCTTCACGCGCAGCTCCGGGAGTCCATGAATGAAGCGGAATGACACAAACAAATTCGAGAGAGGACAGGTCCGGTAACGAGGCGGCTCAGATCCAGGCAGCGGCAGCAGCAGCGGGGCTTCCCCGGCTGGTGGAGCCCAGGAGGCGGACACGAGGTGCAGCAGAGCCGCTCAGTTTGCACCCGGAGCCGGTGACTCCCATGTCTGCAGGAGGAGAAGCATGTCGGAGCAGGGGCGGAGAATGGACACCAACTTTCCACAGAGCTAGCTGCGCCTCGGGTGGCAGGGAAGGGGGCGTGGCATGGGCGCGCGCCTCACCGGTCGTGAGCGCGCGCGTTCTATTGGCCCCGCCCTCAAATCAGAAAAGCGTTTATAATTTTTTTTGTCTAATTACTGCTAATTGCACAAGATGAGATTGACAGTTAATCTTTGTCAAATTAAACAAGTCCAGAAAATATTTAAATATATACACTATTTCACCTTGAAAGAAATCTGGATATTAAATGCTACCCTTTGATGCAATCAGAAACAGAATGGGTTTAAATAAGTCTTCCATTCCAAGACAAGTTAAAATGTAATTAAATGCCCTGCTAGAACTAGTTAAAAATTAAACCGTTTCAAACCTTGTGGGGTGTGGGTATTTAAAGTCAATTTCTCATCTAAACCTGGAACCTTTTAATGCAAAATTCAATACACAGGAGCTTTGATTTTGAAATGCTTGAAATTGTCACCATCTTGTGGATGTTTTAGTGCAGTACCTTTGAGCTCAAGTCAATAAGGGGATAGCAGAAATTAACGGAAACAAGTTTTCATACTCATGGGAAAAATATATAAAACCTTATACTGCTCGTTTTCACGCTTGTGCAATTCCTGCAAAGGCCTACACTACTGTATTTTTGCATAACATTGTAGGTCCCAGGTTTGAAGACAAGTTTACAATTCCCACCCCGTGCAACAGTATAACCTTCCATTTTTTCAGAAGCAGATACCATTTAAATTGCCATCTTGAGTAGGGTTACTTTTGATTTTAATGGCCTGCGGTTTGTCTAAATCCAGTCTTGAGAATTAATCCTTACTCAAACCTACCCTGTGTAAATGAAATGAACAGCCTAAAAGTGTGTGAGTAAACCTTAACCCTGTCATGTAACTTTTGACATGCCAAGAGTTTTTCCAAACTAAGATTACAGCTTTAAGTACATTTTAGTTCCAGTGTATGCTGATGTGCATCTTTAAGATATTGCTAGATTATATATAAACTAGCTGAGGCGCCTTTATGGGACAATAAGATCTACACAGTCCATGTTTTGAACTCCATCTGCTGGAGAAATATCAGATTGTGGATCTGGCAGTGTGTCAGCTTTTGTAAACTAGAGGCCCACCATTTAATGACCAGGAATAAAGGCACATGAAATAGAGCCCAGAAAAGCTGGGCTTTTTGCACAAGCCACCCCAAAACTGAAAACGATCAAGGGTGGCTGAGATGAGTAAAATGTGGTTTTATTAAATAAAAAAAAACTCAAGTTCCAACTGCATTTTACCTCAGAGTTGATTAGTGTGTACGTTTGCACTACAATTTGTATCAAGAAACCAAAAGGCAATGAAAGTTCCAACAAGAACTTTATTGAAAGTCAGATTCACAGCCATAAATGATAGCAACCTGGGAAAAACAAAAAAGGTTTAGTTTCAAAACAAGTCAATTTACAGCAAAAGTGTCAAGCTACTTACAACTAGGAATATTAAGGTTGACGTCTGGGTGAAGAGTCAAGTTGTTGACTAGAACGGGAGGATGATACTGGAACTGGTTTAAGGCTCCTTGGAGATCGTTTCACTTGTGCTTCATCACCAAAACCACCCCTGTTGCTCTGGGGAAACCCAGAGACTGGCTGAGGTTTGCCCATAATCCTTGGCTGCTGCCTCAGAGGGTAGGAACCAGAAGCTTCAGGTCTAAAACTTCTAGGACCAACGTTTGGGGATTGAGCATTGGAAGCAAATACACCATCCTGCATGCCAGCTTTGGTTTGTAGCCCAGTAGGGGCTGGATGAGTCAAGGGTAGCTTTGCAAAGTTAGACAATCTTGGGGACTGCACATTTGAGGCAGGAACACTCTTCCACTTTGCAGATTTGCCTTGAGGTTCTGGATTTTTAAGAGACTCCGCAGGGTTACTGAATCTTGAAGACTGTGCACGGGATGCAATCACACTATCCCACTTGCCAATTTTACCTTGTTGCACTGGGGGTGCTGGATTTTGATGTGCCTTTACAGGGAAATTTGTCCCCGAGGACTGTGCACTGGAGGAAGAGATGCCATCTACAGTACTAGCTTTGGATTGTGGTGTAGCAGGGGCTGAAAAGACTGGATGGCGTGACTTTGATGCAAACACACTGTCCCACATACCTTCTTTGGTTTGTAGTACAGCTGGTGCTGATAAAGCAGGATGGTTGAGGGGTACCTCACCTGAGTTAGATATACCAGGGGACTGCACATTGGATGCAGACACACTACCCCACATGGCTTCTTTGGATTGCAACACAGCAG